TTGATGAAAACATTTCAAATTTCCAGTGCACTCACATCAGAATAACTTATAGATTTGTTGTTAGAATAATTGATTAATCGAAAAAATAATGGTTAGATTAATTGATTAGAAAATAATCCGTTTGGTACAGCACTAGTAACCGTTTACACAACAGATGCACAAATTTCAGCTGCCTTTTAATTTGGAGGACATTGGACCAGCATATTTACACACTAGATGGCACCATTTTCCTGAGCACGACAGTTTATTGCAGATTTGGCATGATAGTTCTCAACTTGCTGCTTCTGCTGGTTACTTCACTAAGTTTTAAACTAACTTTATCTTTAGTATAGCTTCACCTGTATTTGATGGTCATTTTAAACATCTGTTGGGAATTTTGGGGCTACATTGTAGTGTTACAAATTAAATATTACAATTAATTGATACTATTTTAGTATTACAAGGTAAATACTACAATATAGTTAACTGTTTACTTCTTGGCTCACAGTTGTGAATAAAGTTTATTTTTTTGTTTTGGCAGTAAAATATCCAACTGTGTGTTTATCTGTTTGTAATGGATTTGGTTTCTTCTCTCATTTTGCAGCCATTGATGAGTACAAGCCTCAAGATGCAACCACTAACCCGTCACTGATCCTAGCTGCTGCTAAGATGCCAGCCTACCAGAGTCTGCTGGATCAGGCCATTAAATATGGCATCGCTAAAGGAGGGTARGGATTTTTTAATACAGGTGTAAAATAATGCAAACATTGTAATATTTTTGTTTCATACCTACCAACCTGAATTTTTGTGCAGATGTTTACTAAATAGGAACCTACAGTAATGTTTTCACGAAGTCTTGACTAGTTTTTAGACTTTGCATGATGTTTTTCAAGGCATATTTGGCAAAGCGATGACTGGTATGATCTTTATTTTTTAGTGGAATTTAGACATTGAGCACAAAGAGTTTCTCATCATTCCTCCCCTCCTTTTTTAAGAACTGAGGAGGAGCAGGTAGCCCACACAATGGACAAGCTCTTTGTGAGTTTTGGACTTGAGATCCTCAAGAAGGTCCCAGGCAGAGTTTCTACTGAGGTGGATGCCAGGTAAACTTCTACTCACAGTACAAATGGAAACTTAATTTAATCTCTATGCAGACCTTCTTCTCCATAAGACAAGCTTTTAATGCATTCACTCTTACCCATTACCCCTAATTTACACTAAATCAGACTGCCTAGCTGAATGCATGTAAAAATGTACAGTATATTTTATGGAAAATTACTAATAGCCCTCCACATGACAGTGCTTTTTAAAAAGTATRGTTAAACAATATACCCAAATCTAATCAATTGTGTGCTGAAATTAAAGATTACAAATTTTACTAACTTCCTTAGTCAGTCAACTTATGACCATTCAAGACCATTAAACTGTTGTTTTTAGGAAATATTAAAAGCTAGCGGAGTACAAAATCAATGTTCTAAATCTTCGACAGTAAAGAATAGAGTTTAAAAATTAATAAGGTTTTCTATGCAGCCAGCTGGCAGTGAATTCCTGGATTGTGTTCCTCATAGCTAGGACAACTAATCTCGCAAAAAAATTATCTCACTGTTTGATTTTACATCTTAAAGAATCATGCTAAAGTTTCATTAGTTTCTTCGTGAGAGTCTAAGTGGATTCAGGATGGAGATGTGTACTGTAAATAAAACAGATGTGAAACAGGTGTTCATTAGTCACTGGACAAATTAAAGTAAAAAAATACAAGCCAAACTAATATTTCTGTTCTATGAAATTAAGATGTCTCAAATGTTATTTAAAACTCTTGGACCCYCATGTCTGGTGGGTTTGGTCTCTACCTTGCAGGTTGTCCTTTGACAAAGATGAAATGGTAGCAAAAGCCTTGAAGCTCATTGCACTCTACGAAGAGGCGGGCATCAGCAAGGAGCGTGTGCTCATCAAACTGTCCTCAACATGGGAGGGAATCCAGGCGGGCAAGTGAGTGTGCAACGTTAAATGTTAATTATACCAGTAGTTGTGCTTCGACGTTACTGCTTATCTTTACACTGGAATTTTGTACTTTAGCTTGATTGTATGTGTGTTTTGGAAATCATGGCAACATTTCTAAATTTGTCACAATATATTCTTGTATTTATTGCAGTAATGGTAAATGGCTTTTTTTATATTTTTATTTCATTTTATTGTATTTTTTGGCTATAAATCTATTACTTCATTAGAACACCCATAATTGGGTCCCAAGCCCAACTTTGGGAACCAAAGTGCAGTGGTTCCCAAACTTTTCAGCTTTTGACCTACAAAATAACAGTAGCAGAGACCTGTGCCCCCAGCTATTTTTGGATGATAAACATTTGTATCAGGTCAACTAAACATGGGCATAGTAACAATATTTTATATATTACGTTTATCCATTTTAAATACACTAACCTCACTCCTTTGTAACAACTAAGACAAAAATGTAATTAATTCAGAAAATATTTTCARGACCCCACCTTGATGTTTTGGGACCCCACTTTGGGTCCCAACCCCAACTTTGGGAAACACTGTCCTAGAGAACATGGTGATCTCCGGACGAGGAGGGGGTAAATGTTTATGTTCATCAATGAACAAATCTGACTCACAGCATGTGGGCACTCCCATGAGAGCAGTCTCTGCCCGGTTCGGGCTCGGGTTTGTGCTTTGGGTAGCATGGAGTGCGCGCATCCTCGCCTGTGAGGTGTTTATACTTGGTGCTTACGTTATTGTAGTATTCTCCATGTGGCAGAATACAACTTGTGAAATGTTGTAGAATAGGAGAGCAAAAGCATGAGAACTAACAACCTGTTTAAATGATGCACGTCGTGTGCAGCCTTTGCACGTGGAGCTTGGTCACACGAGCAAAGTTGGACATATCTGTTGGATAATGGCGCTCTGAGCACAATTATTTAATGTAAAGTTTGGTTTTAGAGACCAAAGTTTCAGGAGGAGGGAGGAGAGGTTTACTCACTCAGGAGGACTGTTGCTCCTGCTGACCCGCCCAGCTCTAATTGGATAAAAGTGCTCTGGGGTTTGTTGAAAGTAGCATCCCGTTTGGAGCAGACTGGGCGGCTTTAACAAGACTGCAACAGAAAACAACCAGAGTTCCTCTACCCCCACCCTTCTCTTATAGATGATGGAAATCCGTCCTGGTCACGTTCAAAGTTACAAAAATCTGTTGTGGCGATGGAGAAATTTAAGCCCCGTGGTTTTGGCTGCCGCAAGTCCAAAATTGAATTCTGCCCGCTAATTGGTTCAATTGCTGCCAACCTCAGTCACATGRCTGAATCCTGCCCGCTGAYTGATTTCTGTGGCAAATTTTTCGCGAATGAGGACTTATTCCACCACCGTATTTGTTGTCTTTTCGAAACAGTTTGAAAACTCGATAACATAAAATTGCATAACTTCAAAGCAACATGGACGATAATATCCTCTGTGATATACCGCCTACCTCTATACAAGTTTACCAGAAACGAGCTGATTCCCTTTTAAAAACTTTTTTCAAAAATCTGAACTCTATTCCTGTGCACAGCTTGTCAGCCAGGCAGGAGCTGTGAGTTTGAGGCCTTGGGTATTCTCAGTAAAGCAAAACAATAATAAATCCTCAGCAGCCCAGCGTCCGTCCCAGGCTGAACTAAAATAATAATGATCGACCCCGTAAAGTCACGTGTACGTAAAGTCTAACCTCCTGGTCACACACCTGGGGGGCGCTACCTTTTTACGTCAGACATTGGAATGCAAAACTATCTTTGTCATTCTGTCTGAAAGCCACAGTGATAGAAACATACTGACTCTGTTTAAAGCATATGACTGAAAATGCAAGATTGGATCTTAAATTCAGTTCATGATGCACAAAATTTCCTTCGGAAGGATGAAAAAAAGGATGAGAACAAAAAAGAGCACCGTTCATATCATTCCTACTAGGGCTGCACCCGACGATTATTTTGATAGTCAAGTTAATCTGTCAATTATTTCGATTATTCGATTACTTAATTAATCACTTTTATTTCTGACACAACATCCATCTCTGCTACCTGTATGTGTACCTCTTGTTCCAGCTCCAGTTTACAGCTGCTCACACTTGAAAACATCACAGTTATCCAGTCTTTGTCTACAGCGATTGTGAGATTATTCATCTAGTAAATACCTGACTTGAGAGTTCAATCCTTCCTATGCCAAGGAGTAGAACAAAGGGAGACCTRAAGAAAACAAAACAAGCAGGCAAATAAAAATAATCCACCTAATTTTAATGTACAGTATCAACCCCTTTTTTAATTTATAGTGTGATTAACAGATTAGTGCAGTGCTGAAAGGCACTTATTTACCCTTGGCATCAAATTAAGCAGACATCCATGTATAATGACATTACAAATATTATCTTTATTTTTAAGGGTAATCTACTATCGAAACAATCTTTTATCTACAAGTGTCTGTTTGTCCATGTCAACACAAACACCTAACCCATCACTTCTCACCCAGGTCTAAGRCCACTGAAAGGAATGCAAAATATGCAAGGTCCTGCTCCTTAAATTAGATGAGTTTTTTTTTCTTTTCCCTTGGTGTCACAGATGGATGCAGAATTGTGATCTATAATTAACCTGCATGACCCTGACTAAAACAGGCAAATTCCTTTTGTGAGGTTTAGTGTAGAATTACCCAGGGCGCAGGCAGGATCCAAAGTTCAAAACAAGTATTTTAATGAAACAAAAGGATGGCTGATATGTCAGCAAAAACTTACAGAGACTCTAGAGAAAGGAACAAGAGCAGACACTTCACTGGCTGAGGGAAGCAGCACAATGATCGGACAAACACTGAAGACAGGACACAGAATATAAAGGCAAACTAATTAGGGCAACAAGGCACACCTGGAGCAGACACAAGAGGACACCGGTGAGAGAGGGTGGGGCTGCAGGGCAGAGAAACACAG